TAGTTGAATAAAGCACTTAAGCCATTGTTTTGCCCCCAAAACCCCAAAACCCCAAAACCCCATCAGACTGATTCTCTGAAATGCTTAAGCTTATACGAATATATATAAATCTAATTAGAGAGTTATAAATTTTCTGAGTCTCATAAAACTATGTTGCAAATCCTTCTTCATTACTGTTGTTATTGCATTTATTAATTGTTACTTCGAGTTGACTGAGGATTAAATTTACCTGAGGTTCTTCTTGATGAGGGTTTCTCAAAGTTCTACCCGATAATTATGTTAGTTGCTCCCTTGCTATACTACACCTACTACTGTTGCTGCTAGTATAGCTGCTGATCACTTGTATTATCTTGCATGTTATTGCTTCTGTAGTTTACATTATTGTCAAATTATAAATTTCTTGCTGATTATACTGGCATTTGCTAGAATGTTTAAGGAGGCATTAATTTTATCTTCTGGAGAGATATCTGATTCTCCTACTGCTTTAGATTTTGCAAGAACTTATTAGATGTAGAATTCAATTGCTAGCTGTTCATAAATTGCTACTATTGCAATTATTAAGAGGTTTGCTGTTATTCTAAGGCTGCTCTTTGGGCTGCTACTAAATTAAATTATAAATAAAGTATGTTACCTCTTATTAAGTCAAAGTTCTCCTAGCTTTTTGATTGACTTAGCACTCTCTTATTATCCATTTGGACACTGCTAGTCTAATCAGCATAATTCATGGCTAATGAATTTTAGATGCGAGAAGATAAATCATTTGAAGTCATATTTGCCATACCTCCAGTATTTGAGTATTAATTATTGGTTGAAATTGATGTTGTACAATCAACATTCGATGGCACCACAATATTTTGCTACTGCAAGACTCTCTTCCTACTGCTGTCTCCACCTCTAGAGGTAAGTTTGCCACTACCCTTAGTCTTTCGACTGTTTTGATTATTTACCATCAATATTGATTGCCCACCTTATCTTTAAGTATTAGCTGTTGATGATGATGGTTGGGATTAAAGTATAAATCCACCTTAATTATTTATACTTTGCTTAGGTGCTTTGATTATATTCATGTCTTTTAGAAGGGTAGAAGTAGTTGGTTGTTATTATTTCATTGACTTAAGGTCTTTCATACTTTGAGAGTTATTGGACTAAAGTAATTTCAGTGTACTGTTTTATGCTATATTCTGCTGGATAGAAGAGGTGCCTAATGCATCCCCGTCCTGTTATGTTTGATGAGACATGAGCAGTTGCAAAATTTATTATGTCATAATACTTGAAGAAGCTTGGTGGTGGACTTATGACTATTTTTTAGAAAGAGTACTACCCCCAGATAGCCTTTTAGGATCGCCTGATGTGACAACTTAAGCTTTTTTGTTTTTGTTGTTGCTGTTTTAAAGTACTCCATTGTTACTGCTAGCTCTCTGATGACCATTATTTATAGATTTTTAACTTTGGTGTTGAGAATTAGCCCCGTTCCTACTTGACTATCTTCCCTTGCTGTTATTCCTTGTCTGCTATTGTGTAGACAGTTATTATTACTGTTATTATTACTATAGCTACTACTGTTATTGCTATTACTATAGTTGTGCCTATGATATAAAGCCAGCCTGATTCTTAAAGGACAGCGGTGAGTTGAGAATTGATGTTGTGGTATAAGTCCCTAAACAGGAATTTGTATTAAAAGTATTTTGGTTGAAGTTCATAATACCTCCGCCATTTTCATTTTGATTTCCATTATTCATGCAGTTGTAGTTCAACGAGGGATTGGTTGCATTCATTTGATAGCTCATCTCATCCATTATTACCATATCTTGTCCATTTATCCTATTTCTCTATGTAAGTAAAACATTACTTTGATTATTTAAACCCACTCGAGATGTGAAGCATATCGGAATATTACTTGTTGATTTAGTCTTTTGAAGTTTGACTCGCTTAGGAGTCTAATTTTGACTCTGATTCTACTGCTTAGAATTTCCTCTGGATGAATTTATAGGGAATTTTATCTTTATGCCCTTTGATTAGTTCTGTGGCTTTGCCTTCAGAGTTATATAGTTGGAGGACTAATTTGGGTTAAATTGACCATTTATTGTTTGAGTCAAACCGAGAATGTTCTAATTAGTGATGTGAGCAGCAGATATAATATTTTTATCTGGGCTTAGCTTTGATGATCTTTAATAACAGCTTGAAGAGTTTTGGCTATTCAAATGAGTCTTGGCTCTGACACTTCTGATTTGCTTCTAATCGTTCTTGTTTGTATTATGATAGAGTTCATTAATTGACTCTTATGCTTGTAATGCATTTTTATAATTTTATTATCTACTATTACTGCATTTTCTTTGTTAGGAAGTTGAACCAGATCTTGGATTATTAGATGTAGTACGCTTCTTTTCATTTGAGTTCTAGACCAATCTACCTTATCTGGTGCTTGTTGGCTGTGATCCAATTTATTATTGCTTTAGAGTATTTTAGTGCTATAAAACTTATTTCTCTCTTATGGAATTAACAGCTTTTGCGAAGGCTGTTTTACCCAAGCCATATTCATTGACATATTTTGAGTAATCCTTAGATATCTCATCCTCAATACTCCTCAATCTTTCTATACTACCCATATGACCTGATTATGAGCCAGCCGAGGAATACTCTGGCATATGATTCTTGAATTGCCTATCAAGTTAGATCACCTTGCTTTCAGTTTACTTTGCAGTTAAATTCATAATCATCTCATTTTTGAACATCTAATTGCTTGTAGAGGGCATCATTTGCATTTGCTATTGCTAACTTTGGTAAATTATGTTGTTTTGCATTTTCTAAGTTGAAGGCACCGCATTAATAGTCTGTCTTCTCTCTTTGCTCAGCTCTCTAGAAGCTACTACCTCAGTGTTTGATTTAGGCTGATTCAAACTCACTGTAAAGACTGGGTTTCGTTGAGCATAGATATTAAGAGGACTATGGGTGTGATCTTTATCAGATTTCTGTAAAGTACTTAGTGATTTGTTGTTACCTGAGAGACTCATTAGATTTTACTACTAATCTTACATGTATTACTATTGAACATTCTATTTATTTTGGTTCTTGACTCTCTTTAGAATCTTATTTTAGACCATATTTGGCTGAATCTTGTTATCATTTTGAGTATTTCCACTTCCAGGTGTCTTCATCTCTCTTTAGATATTGTTTCTCATTGGTGTTTAACAATTTGTGTTATTATCTGAAATGACCTTCTAGGACATTTATTGAAGTTGCTATGCATTATGTAAGTTACTTCTGCTTTGACTTCTCTAAAGACTACCCTATCTTGAGCCATTTCCACTTGCTAACACTTTGACTTCCTAAATGTGATCATTTGGAGTTGGAACTTTGTACTATTATTAATCTGGATTTTAATTCATGAGTGCATAGTTATTTGGATATTGATTATAGTTTGCATTAGGATTGTTATTGTTGCTCTAATACATATTATAGTCATAGAAGTTTCTGTCTTAGGGAGGTAAGTTTTATGAGGTGATTATATTTGATGAGGCGATATTGATGATAATGTCACATTGCTTTTGCAACTAATTCTTATCTTACATGAAGTTATTTATAATCAAATGATTCGGGACTTGCTGATTGGGATTTGTATTTAGGGCGTAATTGATTATTTGGCCACCCTCTTTATTTACATCATATGTTTGTTAATGAGGTTGCTATTACTATAAATGCTACTGAGTTTATTTTTCTTGGGCAACTTAATGATTAATTGAAATTTTTCCAGGTTAAACTTGATTAATCTGCTATTGCTAAATTTATTGGGAATTTAATTGATTAGCGATACCAGTTGATTATGACTTAGTCTTGATTTCTATCTTTGACTTAGAACTAGTAGGTCTACCAGAGCTAACTCCATCACTGATAGTTTTACTGTTTTCTGTGTTTATTTGAACTTAGTTTTACTAAGCAATCTTTTTCTCTTAGTACTCATAGATTTAGGGTTTCTTTTGCAATTACTGCTGTTATTAAGCCAAGTTAGATTGTGGTCTGTTTGAGATGTTTTGATTGTTTTCATTTAAAGGTTGCTTCTTTTCAGACGTTTATAAATCTGGGTAAATAGATGATTATTGAAGGGTTTGCTATGAATCTTTAGCAATAAATTTTGAGATCAATTCTCCAAAGTCTAAATCATGTAATGCTTTCTTTTTCTTCTTTTAAGCATTTTCCATGTTTTATTATAGATGCTAATGGACTAAGATTGAGCTATTTAGAACATGTTCCTAGTATTGACTGTTATTTATCCTAGATGACTATAGTGATGAGGCTTCGATTATACCACTAGCCTAAATATTAGCAACAGAGTCAATGAACTTGGTATCAAACATTCTGTTAGTTGACATGTAAGAATTCATGCTGGAATTAGCCATCTATTAGCTGCTGAATCTATCTCTATGCTTGCTTTTGTTGGCCTTTTCGGCACTTGATCCAAGCTGGAACCCATTTTGCTAGTCTCTTAGCTTCTTTTCTATCTATTCCTAAATAATTCTTTACTTTTCATCAAAATTCTTTTGTTTTTTTTCGATGTTTTTGAAAAGGTATTTATTTTCAGGGAGAGTAACATAATTGGGGAACACTTTGGAATATTTCTCATAAAACTCAAACATCTTTGGAAGTCTTTAGAAACTCTCTTGTCTGAAGTAAAATCTCTTAAGAAATTCAGATATATCATCAAAGATCAAGTAGTCTTTGAATACTGAGACAATGTGGATCTATTCATTGTAGATAATATCATTGATAACCTTTGAAGCATAGTACTCTCTGCTAGTTAAATACTTTTTATTTAGATTTTAAATCACTATTTAACTTAGCGATTTCGGAGGATCCAGAACTGAGCAGTTGTGGCTGGAGTCATGAATTTTCTGCTCGTGACACAAAAGACACTCCTTTACTCTGTTAATGTATGATTAAAAGAAATCAGGCATCTTTTCCTGATGATTAACCATGTATTTTCCATTATTACTGAGATTACTGTTCAGATGGCTTGCATATTTTTTATATTGAATCCCTGCAATGTTCATATTTCCAATAATCTTTTTATTTGAACTCATTAATAGTTCTGTTTCACCTTCTAGGAATGAGATCATTTTCTCCTCTTCGTCATTTCTCAAGTAATTAGAGTCGTTTGTGTTGGCAACAAGTTTATTTTGAGAGGTTGAATAGAACAATCCGGATTCAATCTGCTAATGTGGTTATTAGTCTAGATTGACAAAGTCAAGCATCTTTCCTTTGATTGAGTTTGGAATATTTTTTGTTGAAGTCGTTTACTGCGACGATTATGCCCCTTTGCTATCATGAGATTTCAAGGATCTTGATATCATATCCTGGACGTTTATTGATTCTCTATTAATAATGCTGATCTTCTTCTATGTTTCTTGTGAATCTTTATTTGAGAAGGCCCATTTGACAGTCTCAGAGTTTGAAGGCTGACCATCAATAGGACTGTGACTAGTTCTTCCAGAGATTATTGTGTTCTTTTTCTATTTATCAAATCTCTTGTTAGAGTTAATTTCTTTCGCAGTCAGGTCAAATTCAGTGCAAGTAGCCTATTTTAAATCTCTCTAATTCTATTTATTTGTCCCTTATTTATTTTAATTCCCTGTGCTTTAAGAATATGCTGTGATATTGCTCGGAGCCCCGTACATATTTATTCCAATATTTTAGGGATAGTCCTGACGACCAGCAATGCTATTGTAATCCATGCTAGCTTCTCCTTCAAGGTCATTATCATCTGAATAAAAATCATCTCCCAAGTCATCTATTTATTGAGGTTTCTTATAGAATTCCTGCACTAGATTATTATTTCCAAGTGGGGAAATATCATTGCTCTCATATTTTTAATAACCTCCAGGGCCGCTTGAATATTGATATTATTATGCGTATTGCTGATGCTACATTTATCTCTGATTATTGCTTAATAACTTAGGGTCTTAATTATGCTAAAGATGCTGATGTGGGTGTTGCATGAGCTGCTATTACTTTGTATATAGTGTTTTTTCATTAGCAGTGTGAGCAAGAAGAGCAGCAGAAGATGTTACTGGAATAGATTGGATAGGTGAGATATGGTTGAAGTCACTGCCTGAATTAGGTCGCTCCTTCAGCACGTGCGGACTTTCTTAATGTAAATTAAGCTATTTGTCCGGCCTTTATTGATAATCTCTTTGAGTTTTCATTTCAATGGCAGTTTGATTTCTTCTTTTTGCAAATAGTAATTATTTAAATTATTTGAACTTTTTAATCAATAAACATGAATTACTATTTAAATTTGATTCTAGCTTTATGGGGTTTTGGGGTTTTGGGGTTTTGGGGTTTTGGGGTTTTGGGGTT